AAAAATTTAAATTAAAAATTTAATTTCAGAATAGTACAACCTGATTAATTAAATTGACCTACATTAAATTTTTTTTCTATGATTTAAATTTCCTCTTAATATCATATTAACAATGATTTATTTTATGATTTGTATTATTTAAAATTTTAATTTTTTAATTTACTAATGCTACCTTTTTTAAATTTATTTAAACTCGTGGTTTTATTTCAGTTTACTACAATCTAATAAATTTAATTTATCTACATTTCAATGGTTTTGTTTTCATTAAATATTTTATAAATTTAATTCACTTTCCTAATTAATCATTACTGATAATCTGATTTGTTATACTTTTTAATCAATATGAAATTTAATATTTTTAATGTAATTACCTTTTTATTTTATAAATTTAATAATTATGTATTTTAAGTCTACTAAAACCTAATATATTATTTAACTACAATTATACATTTGTGTTATTTCAATTTACTCATTTATAAATTAAATTTACTCTTAATTTTTTATTAACAATTACCAAAATATTTTTATAATTTTTATCTAATTAGTTTTTTTACTCTCATTAAATTTTTAATTTTTTTTTATTAATTTCTCAATTTTTCCCCTGAACCTAAACATATTAACAAATATATTAATTAATTTCTAACATTGCAGATTATATATATAACAGTTAAAAAAAACCTAAATCCAGTAATTAACAAATAAATTAAATAAAATATTATAATTTCAGTAATTTTAATAAAATTATGAAAAAATTATATAAAAACTCAAAAAGATTCTAAAAAAAATACATATGGAATTTCTACCCTTTACTAACCTCAACTACTTGCAAAATTAGGCTTCCACTTTACTATCACCACCGGTAAAATTCACATCCAAAACTGCTTTGTTTTTCAAAAATAAAAAAATATCAATTATTTCACAAATTAATTTTATCTTTTAATTTCTCTAACGATAACACTGCAAAAACATAATTTTTTTTAGAGAAATTTCTCAGAACGAGTTCATAGATTTCTCTTACATGGCGTTAATGGAGAAAAACGAAAGAGAGAAAGAAGAAAGTCCTTTATGGTACGACACACTTAATTTATTAACTATTTTTTCTTATTTTATAAAAAAATTCAATAAAATTGCATTGAAATAAATAAAGACGGTAAAAGAATAAAAAAAATCATAATTATGTAAATCTTAAAATGATAGAAATTAGAAAAAAAATTTAAAGCTTCTTACATAAGTTTCATTCATATTAGAGATCACTCTCGTCTAGGTAAGATTTGTAAGTCCAGAGAGCTCCTCGTATTTCTTGTGTCTTCTCGCCTAAGCAAGAGACTCCTCGCTTGAGTGAGAAAATAGTTAAGACGATTTTATCCATTTTCGCCTTAACGAGAATGCCTTGAAATGTGTAATCCAAAATAACTAGTCTTGCTTGAGTGAGATCTCCAACAATTTTTGAAATTTAAATTCTTTCTATTTTAAAAATAAAACACAATGAAAATGAAAGTGTTACACACGACGCTCTTTATCACAACGCCACATGTCAAGATCTCAGGCAATATCACCACAGATGTGCAATAGCCCTGTCATTATGTCAGAGTCAATACTCATTCAAATCAAGACATATGACGAGTTTTCTCCTTAGTTGTCTATTTCTAATGTCTATCACCCCTATTCGATCGATACTAGTGCACTTATGACATGTAGCTTATATCGTTTCAATTCCTACAATACTATTTAAGTTTTTTATTTAATTTTTCTTTTTTTTTTGTCAATTTTTCAAGCCCTATGTGTCTACCTCTAGGTCTGTATCGGACACGGTGAGACGATAATCTATTAAAATAATAATAAAAACATACTATCATTCATGCAAGTGTGATACTAATGCTAACATGACAAAAAAAGGACAAGATAGGGAATTAGTTTTAAAATAATTCTATTTTGAAAAAAATAGTTTTTAAAAATGTATTATTTAAATAAAAGAAAAGCTTTTTTCTCCCCTCCAAAATTGTAAAATTGTAATGTGGTAAAACCTCATTTTTAATCTCTTGAAATATAAAATTTGACTAAAGTTAGTTGTGGAAATTTGAAATTTTAGTTGTTAAAATTAAGAATTATCATCTACATTAGTCTTTATCATTAAGATATGTTAAAATTGAATAACAAAGTTGTGATTTGTTATGTTAAATGACATGTGCTAGTTCATTTTGGATACAAAATAATGTCATTTTATAATCTTTCAAAAATATCTCATTTTTATCCTTGACTTTTTATATTCTTGGGTAATAAGGTGTTGGATATTTTATGTGAATGAACTAGCATGAATTAATTTTTATTATAACTTTAATTTAATTCTAAATTATTGAATGTCAAAATATTAAACCATATTGTTTAGCCCATATTCTATTAATTGTTGTTATTGGGCTTATTTGTGACAACTTTATTGTTAATATATATGGTCTTATGGTTATTGTTGTTGGGTTGGCCGTAATGGGTAGATGATGAATTGAATTTTTATGTATATATTATCCATTATATTTTATATATTAACCTTCTTTTGTGCATAAGAGAATTGATTTGGACTATTTTTTCTTTTCGAGTCTTGATTAGGCCTTAATTCAATTATTTCAACATAGTGCATATTCTCACATTGTTTAGTATTTGAATTATAAATTGGGCTATGGACCTCCTTTTAACGTGATTATTATTTTGTAGGAAAGTTAAGATATGAGCCTATAACTCTTACAAAAAAATCAGCAGATGAACCCTAATATTTAGAGTTATAATTAGGTCTAAACTGGAAGAGAAATGAGGCAAACATGTTCAAACCTTTAATTCATATTCAGATCATGAAACCAAAAGAACTCAAATTTTTGGGCGAAAATAAAGGAGCAAGCTACGAATTTGTTCTAGGAAATTACGTAGTTACCATTTAAGATATTTCTATCCTTAGATTATGACATTTTTCAAATTTCACATTTGGTGTAATCTTGTTTTTGAATTTTTTATGAGATTACTTATCATTAGGATTTGGATTTTTATTATCTTCTATTTTTAAATTTTGAACCTATTAAAAGGAGAAAGGGAGAACAGAGAGGATTTTGACAGAATTAAATTTAATTTGAACTTTTCTCCTTTTCTTTTTGTATCTTCTTCCCTATTCTCAATTTTTTGACTTGTTTTACTCTTTCAACCTATGGAATAGTACTTTTCATAATCTAATTCAAGGATCAAGGAAGTGCAACACTTTTGAGAATTGGTTCCCAATATTTGTTCTTAATTTGAGTTTTCTCGTCTTCTCTCTAATCTATTTAAATTCATGAACTGAAGGTATTGGTTCTAATTCCAATTAAGAAGTGATTGATTTATCTTTATTCATTTGAAGTGTTTGAGTCAATTTTAGAAAATTAGGGTTAATTAAATGGTGCAGAAAATTAATACGTTTTGATAAAATTCTAAAGGTTTCTGAATTTTATTTGATTTTGTGTTTATCAAATGCATGAAGGTTTGCGTAATCACTTATTTAGATTGGGGTTTCATTCAAATTCAAGTTTTAACCCATCAAACTAGAATATTATTAATTTCTTTTGATTCAATGATTATATATTGTTACTTTCCTCTAGATTATTGAATTAGATGTTTAATTAATAGATTATCTCCTCTCATTTTTTATTTCATTTTATTAATTTTGTTGAATTCCCCATTCTAAATTTTAATTTGATTAAATGTTTTAATGATCCTTGAGAGACAACTTTGGTTGTTTCTCTCATGTTATAGTAAATAAGTTTTTATTATTTTGACTCGTGTACGACCGTGAATCAGTAGACTTGGCCCATTCCATTATTAACTCTTAAACACTTATGTGTAATTGTTGTCTTATTGACACAGTGTATATAAAACATTTAAAAATGTGATAGAAGGAGTTTTCTCTATTTTAATTTCTCTCCTTGATCAAGGAAGCATTCAATGAACTCATTAATTTTTGCCATTCTAGGTAATTATAACACTTAATCCTATTATAGCGTATTATTTATGATATTGAAAATTAGATTACAATTTCTCTTCATAAGGTTCATGTTTCACTTTTTTCATGATGTCTTTTCTCTTTTTTCTTCATAATTCTCTCTTTCGTTCAACCCAAAATCTCATCTTTTCTCTTTCAAACACAATCTAACAAACTCAAGTTCTCATTAGCTCAATAAACTCAAGTTCTCATCAACTCAAACATCATCTCTAGTCCATCTCTTTGTTTTCCTGCCACACCTACCAAAATCACCTTTAAATCCAACATTCCTACTAACTAACTCCATACCCAACACTCCTTGAATCCATTCACCCTTCGATTATGAGAAATCATCATCTAGCTTCAACTAAATCAGTGCCTATTATACCCTCTTCCTTGTCCAATTCATTTCAAAATTCACCAAAATCTTCAGAGACTTGAATTTGGTAGTTCAAATGACAAAACCTAAGACAAAGGAACTTTGTAGCATTAACCCTATTGAAGGGGTGACCGAATAAAGGAAGAAACATCATAAAAAAAAGGTAAAAAGACAAGGAGTAAATCTTATTGATAAAAAATGTTAAAAGTCAAGAACAAAAAATAATTTTTTTTTAGAAAATTAAAAACATAATTTTGTATTCAAGATGAATTGACACGTGTGTCACATACACATGACATATCATCACTTTGATACTCACTTTTAACATATCTTAACAAAAAAAAATTATTGTAATTGACAATCGATAAATTTAAAGACTAAAATTTCAAATTTAAGAGATTAATATAAATTATGCTATATATTTCAAGAATTAAAGTGAAAATTTATTCAATAATAATGTATTAAAAAGTGGATATATATATATATATATACACACACACACAAAAAGTAGAAGTTTTTGGAAAGTGAGATAGTTAAGCAACAGATCAAGCACCAAAAAGAAGATTGATAAACCGACTTAAATTAAGATAATATTATGTATTTCTATTTAACATGACCATATTATGTGATTTGACAACATGAGAAAATCCAAATCCATTTATAATTATTCACCAATTTCCATGAGTCAATATCATGATAGTAAGCTGTAAAGATTTGTTGTAGTCAATACAGAATTTAAGTCTTACAAACCTCCGATGCAAAAGAAAAACATGATTTACAGCTAAAGATAAGAAACTGTTGTCCTATGCAATTCGATTATCAAATTCACTCGAGCCATTTCATATAAAAAGTACAAAATTTTGCATTCGCTGTATCAGAACTATGCAAGATCAACAGGTGGTCAGGTTTCAATCTGATGCTGGCCGAAATAATCCTGTACAAACTTCCACCGCATCTCATTACTTCCAATAATGCACGGCTCAGCTTGCATTTCCAGCAATAATCAGACAACACTGAATGCTGACTGTAAGGTAGATGAGAAGCGAGAGGCGATTGTCTGGGAGGCAAATTGTTGAATCTGCTTCTTAGCATCTGAAAGACAAGCAAGCAATTTTAGCCATTGCAAATTTTTCCATTGAACAGCACATAAAGAAATCTTTCTGTTGGATAGGGAAGAGAGTAAGGGGCAGAGAAGGACAGAGCATGCGTGGAACCACTAGTCTCAACATGTTGAATGAAACTTGGAGAAACTGCTAAGACATGTATGTTTTACATACATCCGAACCATTTGAAATGAAATATGTACTTCATGGGAGGCAGGAACAATTAGACTAGAGGCAATGCAGAAAATATTGATACAACACAAACAAGACCCCAAGTTACCAATCCCACAAAAACAGGGTACATAGCAAGGAGTTGTTCCTTTTAATCATTTAAATTATCATTCCATTATGTTTCTCGATACTAAACATACTCCACTACAACTATAACAATGAGAATAACAATAATATCTTCCAATTTCTGTGAATATAGATTAGACTTGAAGGCATCCTTATGGTTTTCACAAATAAAAAAAATGTTCACTCAATTAAGCCCAAAGGATGTGTTGCCAGCCACAAATACAAGAATGCAGTTGACAAAGCATCGATAATCACATAACCTCCCAACATAGGTGTATATCCTAAGCAACTTCAAATGAAATATCATGGCCCAACCTTATGAATTATGATACAGTGATTAGATGAGTCATATTGAGGTCTCATAGAGCCCTTTGCCACCCAGGACTCAACAAGAAAATTCATGTATTGTCATTTGACACATAAACAGTGGACTCTAAACACAAGTTATTTAGTAGTCAGTATCCTCATACGCCAGCAACTTTACAGGAAGTGAGCAAAATACAGAAAATCACTGTTTGAATCTTTCAAAATTAGATGAGAAAAAGGTGCTATAAGGTAAGTTTCCATAACTTCAAGATGACATGTTATACATATCATAAACTAAGAAAAGTCTTGCACTCAAAATTTCAGTATCTTAATATTTCCAGACAATTCTCCACAACCTAAACTAATTTTGCTCTATAAGGAGAAACATTTTATGAACATTGTCAATAAATTTGTGCGCACCTTTCTTGCATTTGGTAAAACCAACAATATTTGCAATGCTGAGGGTCAAACAAACTCCTACAACAAGGAGATAATCTGCTTGAAGCCTTATGAGTGAGAATATTGCTAGCACAATCCATGCAATTGCCTGCAGAACAACAAACCAACAAAAAAGAGTTTCTTATGGTGATTATCAGAGAACATGACTATCCTTGGTTATTTTTGGGTCGAGAGAGGGGGCTTATCTAAAGTATAAGCAATGACAAAACCCTGCCATGTTAATTAACAGGGCTATTCTCCATCCAGATTCAAAATTTATTGAAAATAGATCAATTTATTCTGAACAATACAACCTATATAGGAACTCATAAGCTACACATGAACCATCTCAATAAGTTTGATCAGGCAATAATATTATATATACTGTAAATCTATAAGGTATGCCAACAACATGATCTAATACATGTCTTATTAATTAGTAGTAATCTAGTGAATATTTAAGATAATATAGTACATTATTTTCTCTAATAATATTTTCTTTTGTAACTGTAGTGAGTATTTAAAATAAGATAATGTGCTGCGTCACCATGTCTGTGTCAAATAATGTTCGTGTTTCCTAGTAATTTCTTACCGTAAGGTAAAGGGTCCACCAGAAAAGCCATGAATCTTTCTTGTTCATCCGAGCCAAAGACTGGAGAAAAATAAAATAAAACAAACACATATAAGATGCACGCAAGTACACGGAAAGAATTTGAAGTCCATGCTTATGCTATGTTCAGGTTCAGCAGAACCAGCATATGATAGAGAATTAGATATTTTTCAAAAGAAAGATCACTCGGCTGCATGTGATCTAAACAAGAGACACCTACCTCATGGTCAAGACATTCAAATTTCCAAACACTCTCACCCAGATCATTGATTTCATTCCACCATCTCAACCCAACTAAGATTCGTCCACTCACATTCTTGACTACCCAGAAATCAAGTGCAGCCAGAAGAACAGTCACCACAAAAATGATGACAAAGTTATCAATAAAGAGAGCCGAGAGAATGTAAAATGCCAAGGCTGCAGCCTGCCAGAGAAATAAATATATAAGCAATTCGTTTATGAAGTGAACATGTGCATGGGATGGCTTACATAAAAAAGATAGCAAAATTGGATAAAACAAACCTTGAAGAGAACATGAAAGAAGCATGTCTTGGGATTGGCGTAGTTTTCACCCACAGGCTGCAAACCGAGGAAAACCTAATTAATTATCTAAATCTGAAAGGAATTAATAACATGAGGCATGAGCAATCCATCCAAATCTACTTTCAGTGTCCATCACAGAAAATGAAAAATCGAGCTGAAAATTAAACACATTACTGAATCATCGGAGAAAATTAAGCGCGTATAAAGAAGCTACTTGTTTAGATTTTCCCCCAAGCACAAAATTCAAATCAGCGGTTTTTCCAGGATCACGAAAAATGAAAGAAGCACGGTAGAGCTAACGGTGGGAAAGCAGATCTAAGAATTATGCAGAGAGATAGAAAAGTAGTTGACTTACCTGGTTGGGATCCATGTGTGCAGTGGAAAGAGAAGGAACAAAGCTTCAAAGTAATCACAGAGGAGGGTGAAAGAGCAATAGCATGCCAGATCTTATACCCTCCAAATGTTTTCCGACCCAAATTTGTTTCTGTACAAACCAAGCTAGATTTGCGAGGTTTTACCAAGGGATGCAAAAATGGCTAAGAAAAATATTTTGGGCCAAATTGGGCTTTACTCGAATTAATGTAGCCCGAACAAACCCATTATTTTTGGGCTAGTAGAGGCCCATGCAGTTGTCGTATCGGTAAGTGGGTCACTCATCTGTTATCTCCCGCGACGCACGACTCATGACACCTTGCTACTTCTAGCTAACTCGAGCTGTGTTTACTGTTCATCTTTCTTCCTTCTCCATTCCTCATTTTCTTCTGGTCAATGCCTAATCAACAATTATCCTATTTTCCTCCTTTAATTTTTTTCCCTGGTTATTCTCAATGAGCTGCGCGTGTTCCTCTTAGCGTGGATTTTCAGAGAATTTTAATATTTTTTACGAATTCATTATTTTTAATTTTTAAAATCTGTTTCCTCTGCGTAGTCCAAATCTTTGTTTAGGTTCTGAATTTTGAAGGGGTCTTTGAGGATATTTCCTTTCTGGGTGGGTCTCCATTATCTGTGTTTTTTTCCCCCTCTCAATAAAAACATGTCTCTGTTTCTTAAAGCTTTGCCTTTGATGGCCTTAAGAACCAGGCCATCGTTTGTCTTTCTCTGCAGAGTTTCTGATACCATTCCAATTTCACTTTCCAGAACCAGAACTGTGTTTTCTGTTTCTGCTTCAACATCCCCTTCAATACAACCATCTCCTTCTGCTTCTGAAACACTCACTTCCAGTGCTAAACCGCCTTTACCCCACGAAGAATCCCTTGAATGGGTTAACAGAACTGCATTTTGTGGTGAGCTGTCTTTGAATGATGTGGGTAAAAGGGTCCAACTTTGTGGCTGGGTTGCTCTTCACAGGGTCCATGGTGGCCTCACATTTCTTAATCTAAGAGACCATACTGGCATTGTACAGGTACTTGGCTGTTGCAAATAGTTTACTTAATGTCGTTGATTTCAAAGAAGAATTTTGTATTATCAATGCTGCTATTGTAATTTTATGTTATGCAAACTATTGTTAATTTAGTTTTCTTCCTGCATTTATTACGTTATTATCGCAGTTGTTTGTAATTTTACTTGGAATGGAGTCCAATTAAGCTTTTATTTCAGGTTACAACCCTTCCAGATGAATTTCCAGTTGCTCATTCTGCTATCAATGACCTTAGGCTTGAGTATGTGGTGGCCATTGAAGGTGTTGTCAGGTCTCGGCCAAATGAGTCGATAAACAAGAAGATGAAAACAGGCCTCATAGAGGTATATATCATTAATAAAGGAAAGTTTCATTTGCTATTTGATTGACAGTGATTTGTTTTTTTCAAGGTTCTATTGTATATATCAAAACTATGTATTTAGTTGTTTATTTATTTATTTTTCCAAATCTTCTCCATGTTCCTTGCTTGTTTGTCTGTGAAGAAACATGCTTTATACACAAGCAATTGGTGTTTGGACTCTGAAGATATGTTTTTTGTTGTATGAAATGCTTTATTTATTTATTTATATCTACCATATTTTTTATATGCATGGCAGGTTACTGCAAATAGAGTTCAAGTGCTAAATTCTGTAAATTCAAAGTTACCATTCTTAGTTACTACAGCAGATGGTGCAAAAGACTCTCTTAAGGAGGAAATTCGTTTGAGGTAGTGGCCATCAAGTTGCATGATAACTACAATTGCTTTTTTATATTTATGTTGCTTTGTTCTCATTGAAGTTTTTCGTTATGATGTTGAAATCTCATTGTTTTACTTATTGTCAATCTAGTGGAAAAATAGCTTCTATTCTTTAATTTTTCTCAAGTTACATAATTGGTGGATTTTCTCTTATCTGATCTTAGGTTTTCTTGAATTTTTCCTATTAATTCTGTGGTCTATATTTGCATGTTACAAATTTGGATATTTAGTAAATTGCATATTTGACTTGACTTATCTTTAGGTTTTGTTTAGGAAGAATTTCATGGTTGCCCTCATATTTTCTTTCATAAACCTATTGTCAACTGTTTCATGTATGCTTATGGGATATCTATTGCTTATAATTTCTTGTTTGAAGGTATCGATGTCTTGATCTGAGGCGACAGCAAATGAATTTCAACATATTGCTGCGGCATAAAGTGGTTAAATTCATGCGAAGATATCTAGAAGATGAACATGGTTTTGTGGAGGTACTATCCTGTGAGTTCATCATTTAAGTTATTTTCTTTCTTCAGTGGGTAATGGTGTCCCTTGCCCTTCCTTGTTACTCACTTTAGTGGTTGGTATTTGATATCCTCTGTTGATCTTACCTTTTTTTTTGGTCATAAGATAGATTGAAACTCCAATACTGTCAAGATCCACACCTGAAGGTGCCCGAGATTATTTAGTTCCATCAAGAATCCAGGTATTCAGATTTTTCCACTCCTTCCGTGAGATTATTATTTTCTGCTTTGATGCTCAAGATTGTAGCTAAAAGACTATAATCTTGAAATTAATCTAATATATCTCAGACCATTGATTTAATTTGATATTTTAAATGAGTTGGGTTTCTCCTTATCAATAATAATGAGTTAATGTCATCAAATTTGGATAACCTTGCTTTAGATTTCTCTGAATATTTTGGTTAGCCTTATTTTTTTTTTCATGGTTTAATAATACATGTTCCAATCACAATTTGTAATTGGAACATTTACAATAGAATAAAGAAGTCAATACAACAGACCTTAAACATATTGGTCTTGTCTAAAGTACAGTGGGGAAATTTCAATTTAGCTTTTGTTGCACCAAATCAAATTGTTCTGTTATAAAATATAAATTACAATGTTGAATTCAAGAGTTGATGGGGTTTATCATCCCAACTACAAAAGTTATTTCCTTTACCTAAATGGCACTATCATAGAGTTTATGATCTTATGCATGCACCACATTAGTGGCACCGTTCCTTTACCTTATAGTATACATACACCAAAAAAGCATCATCCTGGTATATTTATCTGTTAGCTCTAAAACATTCGTACATCATATACGGGCATGTATGCAATACCTGGTAAGTATTGGGTACAGGTTCTTATTTGGAATTCCAACTGAGGTACCAGGTATGTACCTTTTTTTGTTTGAATTTGAGTATGAAGCTAGGTAGAGCTCACTGCAACTCTGGTACGGCTCATGTGTGGCTCGAATTCCAACTGACAGCTTTCTGCCTTATCTTTTCCTCCACTCCATGCAGATCCGTCTCCCTCTTAACTGTCATGCTAGCCATGAAAAACACATTCAATCTATCTCATCTTTCGTTGTTAGGTAACTCCTATTTGTAATTAGTTATGATATGTTAGTTAGGGACTCATTAGTAGTTAGTTAAAATAAGCTACTTACCATTAGTTGTTGCATTAGGGAGTTAGGTGAGTTAGTTTGAATATGGCATGTTGCCTATAAATAAGAGGGGAAATTAGAGAGCAATATCATGTGATTTGTGAGAGGAAATTTGGACCTTTATTGCATTGGGAGGTGCAAACCCTCGAAGTTCTGCAATGTGTGTTTTGCTGTTCTGTGAATTGTATAGTTCTTTCCCCATTTTTTCTATTAAAGATACCAAATTTCTATCAATCATCCTCACACAATGGCAGAAGCAATGTTAGCTGCAACATGTGGCAGTGATTATATGACTGCAAAGCACCTATGTGTTTGCTAAGAGACTATGCATGATTTTCCATCTCAATGCCAAATAGGCAAACATCCACTTCAAAGAATTCCTTCCCCTTCATAATTTGTTATACCTTAAACTTTTTAAAATGTCATATCCCATTGCTGTTTTTGTACCCATTTCCTTGCTACTCAGTCTGTTATCTTTTGGTAGTGTAAAAACTGATTTCAAACACAGTAGAAACTTTCCATAAGTAAGAATTGTAGCTATAGTAGTCAAAATCGAGATCCTATGTAGGGTCAAAAAGGGGGGTTCAAAATCATAACTCATAGGATTGTAACATGGATTGTAAGATCCTATAAAATTGTATGTATGCATATAAAATAGTATAAATATGAAGATGAGAGAAGCAAATGAGAGGCAGATGAGGGAAGGGAGCCATCCCAAAACTGAGAGAAGGGAGCTTAGAATAGAAGGGCAGAAGGAAAATCGGGTCAAAAAGCAGGTTGTGGGTCAAAATACAAAAACACGTTAAAACAGACATGACGTGTGCCTACCAATCTTGCACGGTGATTCTACACGATCCTACAAACCTCCAATCTTGCTGGCAAGCCAGCACGGCACGGTTGTTCAGGATTGTAGAATCATGTGATTTTACAAGTTAGCACACAATTTTGACTACCATAATTGTAGCTGCATTAACTATTTGTTTGCATTATGTTTTTGAATGAATTTTATTTTATTGGAGTGACTTCTTTGATGAGCAGATCATTGCTAAGAGGGAAAGCAATATATATATATATTTTTTGTCGGAATTAATTTATATTATGTTTTGTTGACTCACTATCACATGAATTATGAAGCCAGGAACATTCTATGCCTTGCCACAAAGTCCTCAGCTATTTAAACAGATGCTAATGGTTGCTGGTTTTGATAAATATTATCAGATAGCAAGGTAATATTTTCATTCTACGTTTGATTCTCTATTTATATCTTGGCTTCTTTTAGGGAGGATAAGTTATTGTCACCCATGCAGTGCTTTTTCCTTTTTATCTCTAATATTTTTCCCTATAAGAAAAATGCATTTGGTTCCAGTGACTTTCATAAAGTAAGAATATACAGTGCTTGCTTTTGTAAGCTATACCAAACAAAATTAGAACAATAATGATGCAAGTGAATTTTCTTTTCTTGAATATAAAATGCAGTTTACTTTTTGCCAGATGTTTTCGTGATGAAGATTTAAGAGCTGACAGACAACCTGAGTTCACCCAACTAGATATGGAAATGGCATTTACTCCTTTGGAGGATATGTTGACTCTCAATGAACAATTGATCAGAAAGGTTAGTTTACACCATTTGTATTCAAACACCTCTAACAGGTCTAAAAATGCGTTGTTT